TAAATCGACAAACTGCCAATAATCAGAACATAGACCACTGCAATTTGTGACGATGCATGAGTTCTGCAAAGTTATCACAGCGAAAAAGGCAACAAAGCATGAGTAATACTTATCAAATGTACAAATCTTAAACCCCAGTAGAATTTTTTAAAACCACTGGATTTCAAAGAGCAGCTCTTATATCATTGTGAAACTATCTGGGCAATCACAAGTCATCAACATACTCCATGAAGCAAAATTATAATACAAAATCTATTTCACTCATTCATCATTTTATTTTGCATGTTTTTATGCTTGCATTTTAATCTGTCCACCGAACATGCATAATACGTAGTTACTCAACACATTACAGAAAGTGGCAAAAAGTGAATGCTTCATTATATTTTCCACAGAGGTGTGCAAAAGTGCCACATAAGTATGTATGTATTAAATTGTTATCCCACCATTTCTTCTACCAAAGAACTAATGGTGGCTTACACAATATTCTTTCTCTCAGTCTTATCTTACCTCACAGCAACTACCTTGTGAGGATGGTTGGGCTGAGAATCTGTGACTGTCCCAAAATCACCCAGTTATCTCCATGGCTGAGGAGGACTAGAAAGGACTAGAGCCAGACTTCTCAAGTCCTGCTCTCTGCATTATATCTGCAATGTTTGCATTACCTCAAAAACTGCAGATTTTTTCACATCAAAACTTTGGATTGAAAATATGCCTCCTTAATATCCATATAAATTATATTCAAAATTGTAGAAGCAATTAAAATACTTATACATATTTAATGTGGTTAAGCTATCCTCACAGCAATAAGCATGAGATATTATTTAGTAAGGTATGCAATATGTTATGTTCACCAGGTATAGCCCAGTATTGAATGACACAGTAGTACCTTGGCACTATGTTGCAACAAGCCTACTATTCTTTTTATAGGCTCCTTCCAAACTCAATGTTCAAGTTCTCCAAACTGTAGTGCACAAAGGATCAATGTGATCCATGATGTGAAGAATCATGCTCACTTTGGTACAGAGCAAGGCTTTCAGAAAAATGGATGCAGACATTTCCCAAGGGTCTGTCCTTCTCTTTCTAAGTGGCTCAATGGATATTAGAAAAATGCTGCTTTTTAATAAAAACTGTACTTTTTATTAAATTTTGATATAAGCATGGCTTCTACAGTGTCCTCTTGGAGACCTTAGAATCAAAGGACAATGTCTTGCTTATCTGCTTTTAGCTGAACTTGCAAGACAAAATAGTATTAAAGCCCAGCTCTTAACTCTCAGCATCATGGAATAAATCCCCTGATGGAAACTGGCTTCCATGTAAGATTTGTTGATTAAGTTACTAAGGGTTGTGCAACTGTTGTCATACCAACCCTTACACACTGTTTTATGGCATTAATTTTAGAGTCATATAGCAGGCTTAAACTATTTTCCTGATTACAAGCTATTTCAACTTGATAATACACTTGAAAAATCCTAGTGTCCACAAGGATAGTTTTGCTACATTTGGATCTGTGGTTCATATTTTGTTCATCACTATTCAACCAAGCAAAATGGAACTTCCTTCACACAGCATTTTCTTCTATTCTACTCTTCCCAAAACTAAGGTGGTGCTTAGGTATACAAGAAGATGTTGCAAGTTGAACGGGAACATGCCTTGATGAAAGAAACTATGGTTACCTCCTCCACCAGTTTTGATAAACAGAAGAGCTGTCTTTTCCAGTAACCTAGTTTCTGTTTAAGTTCAAAATGATGTGAATTAAACCCCTTGAGCCATCACACTGAGATATAACAGAGTCAAGGCAGAATAAGATCAAGAAGTGTCAGCCAACACCTGCTTTAGATGGTTCAAAGACATAAGCAATGTGCAAGAAATAACAAGGGTCAGCCCAGATGGAAGCACTGCTTTGAAATAAACTAGTACAATAAGAATGTTTACTGTAAATATTCTTACGTGACAAATGCACAAAGAAAGGGTGAAAATACTATCAAGCAGCAGGAAAAGAGAAGCTATCAATGAGGCCGTGTCACTCATGGTGTCTCTGCGTAAAGCCAGAATATAAGTTGTCACCCTTGTCCCACTCCAATGACTATCAGGCAATGAACTAAAAAAGATGTATATTTCATCTTCCCAGGACTGTCGACCATCCCTTGATTCTTTGATGTAACAAATGAAACCTGCCCACTATTTCACAAGCACAAAATGACACTGTAGGTACCTGACAACATCTCTGTTTGCCAGAGTGGGTAACTAGCTCTGGATGAAGTGCAGACAGCTTATTAAACAATGCACAGCATGAATCCTGAGGCCAATGCAGATGATCTTTAAAAATTACCACTATCCTGGGCAAGTGTGCTTTTGATTTTAATATCTTTTAAAACAAAAACTTCTGAATATGTTGAAATATAAGCAGAAAATTGATATTTCTTTTTTAAAAGAAAACAACCACGATGTGAGACACACAACAAAGTCACTTTTAAATAGAATTCAATATAAGACAAAATTTCTTTTTCAGATATATTTCCTTTTTCTCCTATTTTCAATTGGGTAGGCACTGATATATATGTTTTATACTATAAATTCAAATGTATATTTAATGTAACAAATGGGTGTTAGCTATGATATTATTATTCTTTGTGTATAATTATTTTCTAATAATGCTGTACAAGTTTAAAATGGATTTTTTTAAAACTTCTAGAGAAAACCACTTTTTGATAAATATATACATAAATATGCTTGCTTAGGCAATAATTTTTATGATGAAAACCTTAATTTTAACATTTTCCATTTGATGAACCACTGATATGGTAGCTGACATTCAGCTATGATACATACATTAATATTATGTGAAAGTGTTATGGTTTCATAACTAATTTTTGATTACGTGCACAAATCAATCACATTAATTTTAGAACATAATTTAGCATATGTTTTTAAATGGTGCAAGAACTGAGAGTCAGTATGGTTAAGAATGCTCTACTGGAACTCTGAAGATCTGGCTCCTAGTTCCCAATCAGCCATGAGACTAGCTGGGTAACTTTGTGCAGTCACAGATTCTCACCTCACCAAATTGTTGCTGTGAGGATAAAATGGAGGAGAAAAGAATCTTAGGTAAGCTGCCTTGGGTTTCTTGAAAAAATAATAAAAGTGGTATATAAATGAAATGCAATATAAGATAATGATGATGATGGCTGTTATTATTCACATAACAGTAGCAGTTGGTTCACCTAAGGTGTGATTATCTAAATGCCACATGAAGTCTACATTCAGAGGCAGCTATGTAATCACTCTATATATATGAAGAGTCAGCTTAGCTGCTTCAGTGTCCTTACTGATTCCAACACTGCACTAGTGGAAAAGTTTGGTTCTGTTATTCTCATTGCTCTCACCAGTTCAATTCCCACTGAAGTTACTGGACAAAAGCAGAGGCAGCTGTTGTAAGTCAACAGAGTTGCTTCTGAATTAAAGTTGCTTCCTGGGTTACACAGAACATGTGTTGGATGAAAGATTGTTGGCATGAACACATATATAAAGACCAGCCAGATACATAGACCACTAGATTTAATTCCAACAACATGTTGTTCTTGTTTCATCAAGCAGTTAAAAGCCCTAGAAGAGCTGAGGAGATCTAAGCCATACCAAAAGGACAGTCAGGGACAATATCTGAAAATCTTATGTATGAGAGGATGAAGGAATCATACTGGTAAGGTTATAATTCACCAGATTCATTTGAATGCTCTGTCAAAAAGGATAATGTGATCATGGGATTCATGAAGAAGAAAATAATTTGTATGTGCATTCCAACAACTGGGCTTATGACAACAGTGACATCATTATCATAATGTATCAGACTAAAAACCTAGCTCTAAAATATTATTCATATGTGATCAAATGAAAGTCTGGGAAAACTAGCAATAAGAATGATTTTAAAGTAACACTGCACTGTAAATAGGAAGACTACAGGAATTCAAGCTAAATAAAACTATTTTATTTATCAAAAGGAAGGTTAAGCAAACCACAATAATGCAAGCGAGTCTGTGGGAGAAACAGGAGTTAACTTAAGAGAAACAGTGTGGCATGGTGGGTGGAGTGTTGGGCTGAGGACATGAGAGACTGGGGTTCCAGCCCCCACTCAGCCATGAGGCCTACTAGGAGACTTTGGGTCAGTCACTGCCTCTCAGCCTAACCAACTCACAGGGTAGTTGTTGTGAAGCTAAAAACCACTTTCGGTTCCTTGCAAGAGGAAGAAAGACAGCCTATAAAGACAATGTAATAGTAATAATGATAATATTGATGATGATGATTATGATGATGTTCGTCTAATAAAGCAAGGATGTTCAGCTATCAAGGAGCAATGCATTGTCACTGATCTGCAATTTTAAATACCTGTCTAAAAATCACTATATTTACCTACAAATCAAGTGTGCTTGGTACTTAACTGGAAGCATCTATCTCGACTAGCTGTTTCACTGTATTAATTTATGGAGCAATCGAGGGCATGTCTACGCAGAAGTAAGCTTCATAGAATTCAGTAAGACTTGATCTTAGATGAAGCTGGATTATAATTCTCATCATTCCTGCCCATGTTGGCCAGGAAGGAATGATGAGCATTGCAGGTCAACATCTTCTCATGGGTTGCAGGCTTTCCCCTCCTAGTGTAGAACTGTAGGCTTTGTCACCAATTCTGAATGCTAAAATCTGAGAATTACACAGATCTTCCAGAATACGCTAATAGCATTTAGAGTTTGCAGCAATGGGTGAATTTCATATGATACATTTTTTTAAAAAAGTATACCCCCTCAACAGAAGTTCACATAAAATAGGTACAACTCAATATCTAAACTTAGCACCTTGCAAAACATTTCCCTACAATAATAATTTTAAAAAAGTAACTTCATATGTATCCAAAGTTCTCCAACATTAGTTTGTCAGAGCTCTGGTGCCTATGAGTTCAGATTGCAAGCCCAATAAATTCAACTCTCAGTGTTGCAAGATTTCCAGCTTACCTCAAATTCAGCATGCCTGTGAATATCTTCAGCTCTCTGTCTGCTCAAGATAAATTCTGCTTCATTTGCTACTCTAACAAGATGATCTTTCATTGTTTGACTCAGTAATCTGTAAACAGAAAGGCATCAGGAACAGATCAGTGGTTACAGATTACACACACACACACACATTTTTGAAACAAACACACTAAAACAGCAACATGTTTCATGAAAGGAAGTTCAAACCAAAGCAATAAGCTCCCCCACCTGGAAGGAATTCCCTATTAATGCCAAGGCATGGGGTTGACTTTACAGGTGCTGAGTAGTTCCTTCCACTAAGGTGGATGGTAACTACTATACAAACAAGAGATTCATTCTTACAAGGATATACAAATAGATTTTTGTATCAAGCATGATTTAGCTACCACTAGATGACTCATAGCAAGTTAATACAACACCTGTTAGCTATGTAAATGTAATTTAGTCATAAACAACCACAGTTAATACACTGTCGCTTGTAAGTAAAAGGGATTCCATGTTCAGCTATCATTCTCCTTTCTTAAACAGGTACAGATATGGAAAATATGAGAACATTATTTGTTGTAAATGGCACAATTATTTTTTGCATAGCTTTTCTTTACTGAACATCAACACTGCATGTTTCCTAGGAAATATTGTAACTGGCTTAGCTGTCTCTGGTTTTCATTTTAAAATATCTAAGAAATTAACTGTTTTCTTATGCACAAATATAACCTTTTACCACTTGTGACATGCCCTCACAAAACTTTAAAGTTACAATCTGATCTGTAAAGCACTTTACTGATACAGGCCTCACTGACATGAGCTGGACTTACATTAGTTGAAAAACAAGAACCTTAGTCATCAGCAAATAACCTTTGGATTTTCTATTAAGTTTACAAACGCATATGTTCCCAATTTGCACAAAGATATTTAAATGCATGCAGAGATGATCAAACAGAATTCAAAGCAATAAAAGCCAAACTTCTAAAAATATACTCTGTTTTATAGGTGAACATTCTAACACAAAATGCAAAAATCATTATGTGAGCTTCTACACACCAAGTAAATTATTTTCTCCATCCCTTCAGGACACTCCAAGATATCACTTTTAGTTTCATCACATCTTTAACACCATTTGATGTTTCTCTCAGTTACATATTGTGTCTTTATCTAGCATGTTCTTAAAGTAATTCCAATTATGAATCCATATAGACATAATAATTATAAAGAAGATTTCTGCCACCTTTAAGGGTTTTTCGTTTTTTTTTTAGATTTTACATGCAGGTAAAGATTCTACACTGGACAGTTTCAACAGTTCAACTGGAGGGAAGTTATCCTAGTTTTCCCCTTGCAATGTTTTAAAGTAACTTAGAAAAACATGTCATCTTATAGACTCCTGGAGAAAGGAAAGTTAGTGGAAAAAATTGTATGCATTTGCTTGTGATTTTTTTTTTAATTTCTTCAATATTGCAACAAGGCACCAATACAAAGATCATGGACATAATCATCCTTGGTACGGCATCATCATCTATTATAGTGCTTTACAGAAAAACGTAAGCAAGAAGTCAAGTCACAACCTACAGTTTGACACAGCAATGTGGGGAAAGAAAAGACAGGACAGAGACAAGCACAGCAGTGAAAAATATGTGCAAATGTTATCCATGCTTAAGGCTTAGCTGCATTGGGAAATAAAAATGGGTTAACCTTAGCAGACAAGGGTTTAGAAAAGAGAGAGATGAGAGTGAAATTTGGGCAGAAGGGCCAACAAAAGGGACTGGGCTGCATTGTTCTAAGCTAACAGAAGATATGAAAGTGGTAAAGGACAGCAGAGGTGAAGAAATGAAGGTAATAAGCAGAAATATAAATTTTATGTAGATATAGAACTGCCTTATTAAAAGAAAACTCAGTATATATATTTATACATCTAATTTGCATGGTTTCCATGGAACATCTACCATTCCTGATGAACCTATGACATAACCAACCTGATGCATTATAGTTCTTTTCTGAAACATTTTCCAAAACCAGGAGTCAATACTGAACTTAACAAGACAAGAACAATATGAACTCTTGTTTCTTAAGTTTTGTTTGTATCCCTTTAATACAGGAGAAATCATAAACAATAGGTTAAGGTTTTGGGGGAAAACATTCACAAATCATTACAAGCATGGTTGAAGTAATGTATGAGTGTATAAGATTTGATACAAAGAAACAACAGAGGTGGTCAGAGACCAATGAACTTTGACATTCAGTAGAATCATTAATGCATTTCTTTAAAGTCAGAAAAAGTTCAACTTTCTTTCTTTTTAAAATCAAATGAGCTATTTGTAAAGTAAAAAAGTACCCCGCCACTTATAGCTACAGTAAAAGCCACGGTGAAAAATAAACCTTCAAAATTAAGGTATATAGTAAAGTGTAAGTAGAAAGTAATAGAACACATATTTGATAGTGTGGTGTGGTGACTAGAGTGCTGACCTGAGGGACTAGGAGATCCAGGTTCTAGTGCCCACTTGGCCATGAAGCTCATGAAGGTCTGGATCAGTCACTTACAGTCAGCCTAAGCTACTTCACAGGATTGTTGTTGTGAGAATAAAATGGAGTGGAGGAAGCCTATAAAAACTACCCTGTGTTCCTCGCAAGTGGAAAAAGGTGTGATAAAAATGCAATATAATAATATAAGTATTACTAATGTCAAATATCTAGACTAATGGAGTCCAATCACATAACAAAAAGGTAGCTGCTGTCACCTATAGATCAAGCACCTATTTTAAAATATAACCTTAATATTTATTAAGGCTCTTAAATGGACAAAGTGCATTTCAGCCTTATTGGTTGGCTCTACATACTTTAGGACAAGAAGATGATCATTGTAACATAGAAGATAAATCTCTCACTACAGCTCTGAATTCCAAGACTAAAGCACATGTATTGGGTTTCAGTTCTAAATTATTTCTGATTATGTATTTCTGACCTACCTTGGCCTCCTTTATAGAATGACTGTTATAAATTTGATCCCTGAATATACTTTATTACTTTAGATAACCTAGTGCATGGTCTATCTAAGTGAGACAGATATAATTAACAAATCAATTGCTAAAGCTATTAGATTTCCCTACAGTTTGCAGACTATATTTTCATCTGTTAAGTATATTCGTTAATTTAAAAATCTATTAAAAAGAAACAAAACTATTTTAAAAGAAAATATAAGTATTTAAGTTATATTCATAATTTATGACTTGCAATATCCAAGTGGGCTGGACCCCAACAAGAATCAAAAGAATTAAAAACAGCTACTAGTGCAGTTTTCTAATTCTTTAAACACTCACTCACACAGAAGTATAGTAATAGCAGTTTTCAGGCTCCTGCAAGAGACTTCATAAATAGAAGAGCATATTTGTATTTCATTTTTGTTTGCTTTTTTGTTTCTCATGCAATACCCCAGCACAAGGTGCAGCAACCTTCCATCAGCAGAGACTACCTTTGCATTCATTACATCATACCTATCACACCAAAGAGAGGACTGTTATTCTCTCCTATGTCAGTTAGGTCAGGGATCATCAGCCCATGCTATTTAAGATCTACATGAAACCATTAGGGGAGATTCATTTGGAGATGTGGACTAAGATGCCATCAGTATGCTGATTATACCCAGCTTTACATCTTCTTTTCATCAACCCAAGATAAGGCAATGGATGTCTTTAATCTGTACTTGATTACTGGATACATCTATGCTGGATGAGAGCTTAAAAATGAAGTTAGATCCAAACAAGATGGAGGTATTGTTTCTTGAAGGTTTGTCTGTCCAACTTGTTCTGCACTTCCCCTGAAAGATCAGAAGTATAGCCTGGGTTTGCTCCTGGATCATAACCAAGGAACACCCCTAAGATCCCTCATTTGGGGCCCTGGTGGCCTTGGTAATCACCAGTACCTTTTATCAGCTTAGGCTTATATACCAGTTAAAATACTATCTGGACAAAAACTGGGAAACAGCTATTGCTCAGTTGAAAACATACTGTTGAATGTAAATCCATTAACTTTTGTAGGTTCTTTGTATATATTTAACTCCACCAATTTACAAGCTTTTGACCTAATCCAAAAAGTAGTTTTAAATCTGAAAGAACTCTACAATCCTGGACAAGTGATTGTGTATTTAAATACTGATATATACAGGACTTTAATTGGTAAAAGCACTTTGTGAAAGAGAACCATTGGGACAGGACTGCTGAAGCACGAATCAGTAGAATGAGGCAACAGCTAAGCTTTACTCTCATAAAGAAAGATTACTTTAAAGCTAGGTGCGTCTCTGGGTCACCATATTTTAGATGATGCTTCTCTAATTAATACCAAATAGGTTGGATATCTTCCCAATTCAGCATGTAATTAATTCATTTTATTCCTTCTTGGGAAATCTTTTCTTTTCATTGCTTGAAAAAAGACAGTTCTACTGAATGCCAGCATATGTCAAAGTTCATGGATCTGCCACCAGCTCTTGTTATTTTTATAACATATGTTGTATGACTAGTGACAGAACACCAAACCATTAGCACAATGTGTAAAAGGCATGTTTTAGTGCATTTAGTTCAACATCATCATTTATATTCCTGTAAAATGATGGTATAAGCTTACAAAATTTTTCAAAAGTCCGCATGGTTCAAAATGTCTAGTGTGAATACTGCAAATTATTTCATATAATTGTTACAAAAACTATTGCATAAACATCTGGAAGAAGCCATTACATTTCCCAGAACTGAATGCAAAAGACTGAACCTACAGACTTACTCTAAAATACCTATAACCAAAATGATTTCAAAAACTATGTTTTTTTTTTAATGTTTGCGCAAACAAAAAATTTGCCATTTCTTTTAATGCTGAAGTGGGAGTTAGGAAAGATTCATAGACTCATGCTTAATTAAATGCGATTTGGGGATTGCTGATTAGAAGCAAGGGAGCAGCCCTGCATAACTTATGGCCCATCTAGCTAAACACAAGCAACCAACACAGACTGCCGTCCACCTGGTGGCTGACAAAGCCTGAAACCAGCAGCATCAGCAGGTGATTGAGCCATCCTAAAGGACTGCATTCAGCTTGGCAGCTCACAAGCTGTGCAAGCCTGCTACATGCATGATGGCTGCAATTTACATTCCAAATAAATTATTTCGTATTTGCCAGCCTTTGCTTGCATTCTCTTAGAAATACTCTACATTTTCTTTTTGGCTGGCTGCTAATCTCCTATTTTTAATTATTCTATTGTGATACTTGGGTATTTTATTTTCAGTCATAGTGGCTGGATTCACAAAGGCAACCCTTGCTTTATCATTGGGTTGTCAGCTATGTGTGGCTTATGGTCAACAACCCATGATTTGTTAGCACAGCTGGATTCAGATAACACAATAGCCCACTATACAACAACCTACACTCAAGTCTTGGGCAATTGTGGTGAGTGAATCACATTATTATGACATTATTTGTTCAAGTGAGAGAAAATATCAAAGTATCACAACAGAATATTCAAGGAATCAAGAGTTTAGCATACTTATCAGTTCTAAAAATGTCTATATCTTTCCTCTCTCCAGCAAACACAAAACCTTAGGAGGAGAGTATTTCTATTAAAGCTTAACTGGTTACAGAAGGGTACGAATCAAAGTGGTGTTCTCAATGTGATGTGGGAGAGGCATCCACCCATGTGAAGAGTTCAATCGAACCTGAAACCTCCCTTTCACGGAGAGTCTGACTGTACCCTCAACTTGAGAGCTGGATGGTGGGAATGTTGGACATTTCTTCATTAACCCACTCATTTCAGTTGTCATCTCCTTACAGGGTCAAGGAACTCCCCCTAAATTTCATCCCTGTTCGGTTCTGAAATGTTTTCTTCCTTCTGCTGGGTGGACAGAGTCTCACATTCTACCCAAGTATTTTTACTTTGCAGTCTTGAAGCAACAAAGTCATGCCCTGTGACTCCTCCTCTGACTCTGAAGGATTTATCTGAGGAGTCTGTAACTTGAGACACCTGGTCCCACTCTCTGCGATAAGCTTAGCCAGAATAACTGAGAAGCAATGTGTAGCATATTTTTAAAGGAATGTAAACAAATGCTAGCAAATGGAAAGCACTTTGTTTTAAGGTAAATTATAACTGAGTAACAATTTGCTAAATACAAATAATCAAAGTAGACAAGTTACCTTCCTTCATTGACAAGCTCAATGAAAGCTAGGCCTGCATTCTTCTGTATTGAATTCTGCCATTCCTATGATAAAAAAGGTACAAAAGATTAGAAGAAACCAGGTAATTAAAAATACATTAAAGAATGCAAATATATTCCATTTAAACTAGAAAAAACAATTAAAATGAAGCAGATGACAAATTAAAAACAACAAGAACTAACCATTTCTTACCACTTAACTGGCTGGTAAAAGAATCAGTAAAATACTGAAACATATCAAATGTTTTACTCAGGGTACATATACATAGCTTTACCTGCTAAGTATATGCAATGCTTGCAGTAGATGTTGGCAGAATACCTCAGTTAATGATCATCACCACATCAGTCCATGTGGGTAGCAAAGAATAGTAAGAACAATTCAGTCTAAAAAATAAGCCACCACAACCATTCCAACTAAATGATATAAACATATATGTTAGAATCAGCAGCATGCTATTTTTTATAAATTCAATAGATTTCTATTTCTTTCACTGATTTTTCAAACCTTTGCAATCAAATGTTTTCTTAAATCTTAGCCAGCATATCTTTGGACACTCACAAAAAACCATCTGATACTGAACAAGGCTACTGTTCTCATGGCAATACTTCAAAATGAGTGACAGGCATAGTCTCCAACAGAAGAAGTCTCATGCTTTTCCTCATACCCCTTCCCCCAATTTCCAGAATTTACATCTAAATAATGTGAATTAGATATACTAGGATAAATTGCAAGAGGTTTTTGTTTGCTTTTGGCTACCCAGACCCTAACTCCCAAACCAACATAAGCGATCAATTGTAATTATGAATTTTTGTTGCTATATATTTTAGAGGTATAAAGCTGAAAGGGTACACAGCTTTGAGCATTAAAGAAGCTGTTAATGCTGCAAAGGCATTGCTTTTCTTTTCCCAACATGCCTCTGTATTTGAGCATTCCTTCTCAAAATGTTGGTAGAAGTGTAAGCTAAAAATAAATAAAGGAACCATAATTTTCTTTAAATGACATCATACATATATTTGTGTCTACAAACAATGGATTTCACCTTAAATCACATTCACTCCAGCACTTTGAAACTTAATTACTAGAGACAGAAGTTGCCAAAACTAAAAAGAAAAGGTATTTATCACGTCTCTTTCCAGCATAACTCTCTGTATTACAGACAATTATCAAAGAAGACATTAGTCTAAACAAGTTTTTATAACGCACAAGTGAATGTTCCCCTAAGCATGCTTTAATAGTGGTGGGGGCAAGAGAAAATGTAACAGCTATTGTCTTTCATGTATAATTCAATGTTTCAACGCAGCACATATATCCTATGCTGCAGTTACACTCACAGAGCTGACTGCATTGTTATGTCAAGATCTTAGTTATTCTTCTCCCTAAGGTGCTGATGAAAAACATGTTAAAAGCCTCAAAGTCCAATCACTAATGCAGTTGAATAACTGCAGAACACATTTCAGCACTTTCAGAAGGAAGGACTGCAAGAGGAAATTGACAAAGTCAATAATTTCATACCTGCTGTAAACTGAACTTAATTGACTGCCATTTCCTATGTCTATAAAATGTTTACTGCCTAGAAAATTTATTTCTAATATATATGATCGTAATATACCATATTTTTCGCTCTATAAGACGCACTTTTTCCCCCTCAAAAGGGGAAATGTCTGTGCGTCTTATAGAGCAAATGTGTGTGTGCCCGACGCCCGGGACGCTGCCGGGCCACCTGCACCACGTGGCACCACCTGGCCAGCATGCGCTTGGCACGCCCTGCTCCGCCCCCCCTCCGGCGCAGGTGAGAGCTGTGCCGCTCAGGGGGAGAGGTGCGGAAGAGGAGGAGCCGCACAGAGAGACGGACTGCTCACCCCCACCGTCCGGGAAGACCTGCCACTGCTGCGCCGCCTGGAAGACCACCGCCAGCACACTGCTGGCCCAGCTGCACCACACCTGGCCGACACGTGCTCGGTGCACCCTGTTCCGCCCCCCTCCTCCGGCGCAGGTGAGAGCTGTTAATCACAGGTCGGTGTGTGTTTTCAAATGGCAACCTGTCTTTTAATGAAGCCCATGGGGAAGTGATGGGGAATGTGCCTGTGATTATCAGGAAGCTTTCCATGGATCCCTCCTCTAAAAACTAGGTGTGTCTTATGGTCTTATGGTCAGGTGCATAGAGCGAAAAATATGGTATGTACAATAGATAGAACATCTATAATAAATACCAAATACTTAAATACTGATTGACAAAGTCCTAAGTAGCTCCTTAAGTATAAATAATCTTAAAGTGCTAAAAACAACATATTTGGAGGGAATGGACTGGAGACATTAGTGACCAAACCTGGAAGGTGTGTTCTCAGAATCAGGAACCTTGAGGTCAACTTCTGGAAATTAAAGCTGGAAGCCGGAGGCTGATGTATAGCAGACAGAAGGCACTGCTCCCTTGATGAAGCAAGGGCAGAAGCCAGGAGTTTAGTGTTATACCAGGCCTGATTTATCCAGAGATTTCATGCTTCCTGGCAAGTGCAGGAGACAACATGTACACACTTTTCTCTGTTTTGTCTGAAAACAGCTCTAAGGCTGTACACACACACACAAACAATCATAGAATTGGAGGAAACCTTGGAAATGTAGCCCAAGCCTTCAGTCAGTACAGAAGCCGAGCAACTACAGACAGTATCCCACAGGCCACCTTTCAAGGAAGTCTGTTACTGAAATAGTTCTGATCATTAGGAAGTTTCATCTACTCCTTTCCAATATTTCCAGCATAGAGAACCCTTTCCTAGTATACACTTTTAAGCCCTCACATCTTCTTTTGAATGCCTGAGCAAGACTATTGTGGTGAAAGCACAATACAACACAGCTGCCATCTTGGACAATAGGTTGTCTGGCCTCCATGAATAAGATGAGAAGCCTTCACAATTTGCATAGGCCCCCACCCACCCCGGAGAATAGTTCTCTCCCCATCAATCACTGCAACCTAAAGGTTTTCTACTCCAGAAATACACTGATTGGATTTGCATGAAACAAGGCAGGTTAATAAGCCGTAGTGGCTGGTTAGCCACCTCTGAGCATGCTGGCTGCATGCCAGATGATTTCTTTAATTACCCTTGCTGGGCATGGGTTGTGGCATCTGAACCCAGCAAAGGTGAATATCTGAGGTTTCCAGAACTCAGGATGGTTTGTTAGCCATCCTGGCAACCCACCCTTGCTGGGTTTAGCTGTTACAACTCATGTCTGGCAAGCAAAACAAGGGCAATCAGCTGGTATGCATGGGGTGCTTACAAGCCACTGGGGCTGACTTATCAAACAGCACTGTGTCATGTGAAGAGGTTCACTGCCTGTCATAATAGATACTTCAAAGGATGCAATTAAGCAACACAAGAAATCAATATTATTGTAATAGTTCTATGAATAAAGCTTCTTTATTAATTTAGCCTGGGTAATTAACATTTGTCCAATTACCAATTAATCATTTTACTCTTCTTTCTTCTGGGGTGAAATTAATTTCCAGAAATGTGAATACTACTTTTCACTAACAATATGCAAAAAAGAAGACCTCAACATGTTACATTCTTTTTCGTTTTATTTTTTAAGGTAAAGCTTAAATCTGTCTCAAAGGTTGTGTATATATAGTCGCTCTTTGAGAGACAGAATGAGACACAGAAGAATCTAGCGTTCCACTCCTAAAGAAAGCTATCCAGCATTTTTAACAGGTCTACTATAAACATGGTAAGAAAATACGCAATACAGCAAATCAGCTTACAATGCTTAAAAGTGTATCCAATGTTCAGAGAACAGGGGAGGGGCCAGCTTCATCAGCCAATTCTAATTCAACTTACTCGAAATCTGTTATCTGCAAGGAAAAGGACCGGACTGATAATTAAATACCAAGCATATGAATGCAGGCTTCAACTGAACAGAATCGCTACAATTTATAGATTGTCTGTGGTACAGTGTCCCAGCTTACGTTTTAGTTTTGGAGTTTGAATTAAATATCTTATTGGGATAGAATAAGGGTGTGCTAACTTAGTTCCATCTAGATGCTCTAATTTTGGTCACCCCCTTCTTGGTCACTAGTGTAACAGCATCTATCTGCTGTGGTTCAGGAGCAAGTTATTCCAATTCCATTTCAGGATACAGTTTTTTCAGCTCCAGAAACTACCATCAAGAATACAGACTGAAGAACAAACCCTTTAGGTCTCAATTCAATACAAATACTCAGAGACTCAGCCTTGCCCCACTGTTAAAGTGTTTCTCTATTCACTTTGAAAGTATCTGTTGCAGCATGCTTACCAACTCCATTGTTTGGGACAACCTCTACTCTTCTTAGCATTTAGCAATAGAGGAAGTGATAGTATAGTTCAATTTTTCCAATTACACAAGGGGCTCATTTTTGTCAATTGCATAAACATCTGAGACACTGATTTAGACACTTCAACATTGACTGAAAGCGCAATCTAATGCATGTTCCACAATTCCACAATTCTCAGCACTGTCCAGCCAGCCATGCTGGCTAGGGAATGCTGAAAGCTGCAGGACTTTTTGCTGTCTAAACATTCATAGGATTGCATCCTTAAATATTGTAAATGCTTAATGTAACGGTCAGACTGTTCAGCTATGGCAGTTTATACATATTACTTTGAGGAAAAAGCATGCTTAGCCAAGCCACATTTTCTGCCTAATTGACTAAGGATTTGATTTCAAAAAATTGGAGTGATAAAAGTTGCTCAAAGTCCTCCCATCTGTAAGTTCTGAACAGATGATCATCATTAAGTTTCTATCGAGCTTCTAAGTACTGAATTGTACAAATGTGTTCTATTAGTACATGGCCTGACTGTTTGGCAACTTCAGTCCTCAAGACAAATGGCAGCTGCTGCCCTCTGAGGTCTGAAGTCAAGTCTTTAGGGAATCTCAAAGCCCAAATGGAAAAGAAAACGAAAAAGGAAAAAAAAGGAGGGGGGGCTGTTCATTAGAGACTGCTCCAGGCTAAAACTTTCAAGGCTGCCATATAGGGGCTAATTATTTTTTATAAGTCTTTAAAACTACACAATGTGCT